TATATATATATATATATAACTTAAGGTGACATTTTGTTAAAGCGTGACATTAAGTACAAACCTTAAAGACATTGCAGGTCATGACGACCTTTTTAGAACCTTGCTTAAAATTGTTGCGGGTAAACAAATCACTTTATGCTAATATCATATCTTACATTGTTTTCAGAATCAAACAAATCTATGTTTGGAAATCTATTTTAAAGTCTTGTGCTATAAAAGAATAAGGGACCGTATTAAAGAGGTTCATGAGACACAACATATATATGTGATTTGATCTCTAATAATCTCATTAGATTAATTTGAGGATCAATGTTTTCCTATCAATAATATCATAGTTGAACAATTTCCTTAGGTGTTGATTTGTTATTCATTTCCAAATTAAAAGACACTTAACTTTCAATTAGCAAATGTAGAACTTTCAATCTCCAAATTAACAGTTGCAGAGCATTTAGTCTCCAAATTAACATATCATAAACCATTTATAAAACTTCTTTTTAAGCAAAAAAAATAAAAAAAATAAAAAAAAAAGTTCTTGTGAGTATAGGGTCAAAACAACCACTTCATGATCTGAAACCGGATCCAAATCCAAAACCGATCTGCTTCAAAACTTGGTTTGGACGAAAATGGTTCGCTTTGAAACCAGTTTAAGAATATAGTCGTTGGAACTGGATTCTACAAACTAGCTATTGGGTCAAATTCTCAAGTTTTTTGTGTTATAGGAACGGTAATACTCTAAGTTTTTTAGGTGTTATATGGCCGTTTTTTTTATAGCATATATAGCTTATACGAACGGTAATACTCACTTTTTTGGCCTATTATTTCAAAAATAAGACCGCTGCCTTCACTTTTGTATTTGATTTATTAGGCGAAATGCTAAGACAAAAGACTCATTTAATTACTCTTTGGTAAAGCTCTAAGTTTTAAGGTTCTAAAAACTTCGTCATGGCTCCAAGCCTTGTATTTGGCACCGAACTTTGACGAAATGTCGCTTTAAGTCATATATGTATAGAAAAATGAATAAAAGTAGAAAATATATATAAAATTATTAATTATATACAAAATTAACGCCTTAAGTCACGCCTTACAAACAAATTGACTCACCAAGACTCCAAAAAACTTGAGGTTTGACATTTCCACCAAGTCACGCCTTACATTATTTAGAACATTGGCTCTAACACATACACACATTCTCTCTCTCTAAAAAAAATCCCTGTTTTGCTTTGCTTTATGCTGAAAAAAAAAAAAAAAAAAAAAAAAAAAAAAAAAAAAAAAAAAAAAAACTCCAATGGACCAGTTTCTCTCAAACTGGTGTCAATCCGGTCCGATCCGGTTTCTAGAGGTTTGAGTATTTTCCGGTTTATGGCCAAACTGGTTTTGACTTGATCCGATCCGGATTCCGAAAAAATTACGGTTTGTGCACCTCTATTTTTTAATAATATTAACCTAACAACCAAACTAATTGCATATATTAATATGAGTACAAAACTGAAACATTATTAGATTAAACGGTAAGTAATAACTTTGTTGCATAAATTAATATATAATTAGCCCTTAAGAACATGAAGCCCCAACGACTTTAATCTATAATTCAATACTCACTATGAATTTGGCTATGAAAAATCAGTCGGTCACAAAAATTTAAAATTCTACAGCTAATCTTTGGGGCCAACTGTGAATTTGGCTATGAAAAATCCAATTGTATCATGTGGGCCCGAAGGATCAAACCTCTGGACAAGATCTTCCTCACCAGCTCTCAACCATTCCCTAAAAAAATTTACAAAAAACTAAAACATTACAACTGAAAATCACTACAAACTAAATTATTAACTTTACAGGAAACAGATTAATTAGGTCCCAAATAAGAAAGCACGATATAACAAAACTTACTCAAAATATCCATTGGATAATTCACAATGACCAACCAAACCAGGTCCACCAATTCTTGGATCCTACAATTTCATAAAAAGTAGACTTTAATGCAAAAAATAGCAAAATAAAAATAAAAAATGGAAGTACAATTCTATAACTGGGGTAGATTTTTCAAAGTACGTGTCAATAAGAAAAAACAAAAAAATTAAAGGGTTGAAATAAAAATAAATTACTAACTAACCTGTTGAGCTAGTGAAAGAAACTTGTATGTGTCCAAAGCATAACGAACCAATGCCTCATTTTCGCCTGGATTTATCGTGCATCTGGAATTCTTTTATATTATTAATTTTTATCCAATAAATAATAAAAGTAAAATAATAATAATAATAATAATAATAATAATAAATTCATTTATTTTTTCTTACGTGGAATATACAAGAACTCCACCCGCGCGAACCAGCTGAACAGCCTGATCAAACAATCGTTTCTGATACTTCCCATGTCTTCTCAATGATTCCACCGTGTCCTTAAACAAATCAAATTTTAAAAAAGTCATAAAAGAATATATACAAATAAAAAAAGATTTTTTTTTTTTTTAAAAGTGTAATACCTCTCCAGCAAACAAGCGGGGTCTCAATCCAAGAGCAGAACAAGGAGCATCAAGAAGCACTCTGTCAAAACTGTTTGGCAAAAAGCCTTCACATTTATCCACCCTGCCACCTGTCGATTGGTTTCTCCCGGGCCCATTCTTCATCCTTCTTCTTTCTTTCCTTTCCTCTGCTTTACTTTTATAACAACCTACTTTCATTCCCTCATCCTTTGTAATATTATTATTAACTTTCTCCAAAATCGGTAAATCTTTGGTGTCACAACTCATTGACTCTGCCTCTTCAGTGGCTTCACTTTGACTGGTTTGACTTTGACCACAACTTTGTGTCATTAAATTATTTTCGCAAACAGCTTTTAGGGCATCTAACTTATACGCTTTTATGCTAGTCAACCCCAATTCTGCAGCCAGATTGTGAATTTCAAGCACCTGGATAAATTATTTAAAAAAAAGGAATAAATACGGATACATGAAAAGATATATATTGTACTATTGTAGTAACAGAATTTTACCTTGTTGTGAGATCTATCAACTGCAATCACCTCTCCTTTATCTTTCATAAGGGAAGCGATTGCAGTTGTTTTTCCACCAGGGGCAGCACACATGTCCAATATTCTTTCTCCCTGTTGCGGATCTATATATATATGAATTGCCAGAATTACCCCTCGTTGACAATCAGAAAAGAAGAAAACAGAGATGTATATGTGTAGACATACCTAAGACATGTGCAGTGATGATGCTTGGCAGGTTTTGAAGAAATATGTCCCCCTTCATCACATCTGTATGTAGTAATTTTTTATTAATGAATTTCAAAAGAATTTAGGGTAAAACCATAAAAGAAAAATAAAAAATGTATACCATTAAAGGATGTTAATCTAAAAACTCTATCAGTCATATCCACACCAAGACCTGATAATCCACGAAAAATTCCTGCCCTTGACATGGTTGTGATTCCTTGACCAATATATAATCCATCTCTTTCAAGATATTGAGGATCTACAACAGATAAAAATAATAATAATAATAATAAGAAGTATTATAATTTATTTATAGAGAAGTAAAAGCAAGTAAGTTGACTAGTTGAGTGACCTGTTTTGAGTCCTTGTAGGACAATGCCACGTGTGATTCCAATAGCCCATCCATTGTCACGACTAGGCTGTTCAACACCAACTGAAACTGCAACTACATCCCCTTTCTCAACATGAGCACTGCATGCTAGTATACCTGGAACATATACCTACACAAATATCACAATCAAACATCAAAATCTAAACACTTTCTAGTCTACCTAATCATGTTGCATATTAACATTTTATAAACACACTTATTCCTATTGGAGATAAAGGCACATGAGGAGAGAATGAGAAGGGAAATTGAGCACCAACTCAAGTTCAGTAATCATAAAAGAAGAAACATAATCCAAGCACATATTTTAAAAAACATGATTGCTAGAATGCATGATCATTTGAATGATGATGACATGATTAATATAATATTTTTCAGCTTTTGCTTACCTGAGCACCTCGAAGAACTGCCTCTGCACACTTACGGCTGACAATTATCTCCTTAGGAGGTCTGTCTTGCTGATAATCATACTGAATATCATGTGGACCTGAACCCTTCACAAATACAACATAGTCTAGCCCAGGTATTTGACACTTTAAAACACTTAGGGATTCTATATCACCATTCTTTACAGTATCTTGCAGCCTCTTCTCGCATTGAATTTCCAGAATCTTCTCAATGACAGCTTCGGTTGTTGTGTTCAGTGTGTTTACACGTATACAAGAGTAACAAGAGGGCCGCCTATACAATTATAAGAGCATACATGTGTAAATAAAATGATTGGTTAAACTTATAGAAACTAATTAAGACAACAAGTCTTATACAACTTGCCTAGTAACATGTAACTATCAAATTTTTCTATAAAATAGAATCCATATGTGAAGTTTGAAGATGGAAAATAGAATCAATGATGAAGCAATTACGTTAGTGCTTTGGAAATGCGAGAAAAGACTTCTGCTCCATAAGCATTGGTGAAATACTCTTCCACTTGAGGATTCCAGCGCAACGTGGGGTTGTAGCAGTAACGTTCAGATGAATCCATCAGCAGGATCTATGATTGCAGTTGCAACAAAAAGAAAAACAGAACATTATAACTAGTTGCATAAGCACGGATTGATGAAATGAAAAAGGAAGAAAGCATTGCAGGTGGACCTGCGACTGGGACTGGGACTGCGATTGAGAGGGTGTTGTTCGACTGCTGAAGTTTCGGCTTCTGTTAATAGCTCTGAGAAGAACCCTCACTCCCTTCATTCAACATTCAATTCAATTTAGAGAGGCAAAAAGGGTTTTACAGCATCGCTCAATTTGACCTACATACCTTACCTTGTTGGTGTTTTACCGTTTTAGTTTGCACTAGGGTTTTATAGCTGTCTATTTTGGTTGAATAAAGTGCAAATTTGGTCTGTGTGTTATCAAAATCATAATTTTTTTTTTTGTGGTTTTAGTTGTTGTTGTTTTTTCTGAGGCAAAATATCTGCAGTCTGCGGACCACATCTGTATACCTCTGCAGTAGAAGAGACGGACCAAACGTCTGCAGTCTGAAAAAAGAAGGTTGTTTGTTTTTTAACATCTGCGGGCTACTAAAATAAACTGAAATCTAAATAAACTGATTTTTTTAAACTTCAAAGTGATTTTTTAATATTTTTATGACTTTGTTATAAATAATTAACGAATCTAGATCAACTTTTATGCATTATTGTATAAAAAATAAAAATAAAAATGGTATGAATTAACGTATATATTTGATAAAAACCAACAACTTTGGTTGCAAAGTTATAACTAAACATTACAATTAGTGATCGAAGAATTTGATACATAAATAGATGGAAATAAACTTCGATTTTTTCAATTATATCCATTAAAAACGTACCATAAATATTCTTCGAGAATTGACGATACTGTATTAAATAATGTTTTACAAAATTTGGCAAAAAAATATAAGAATATATTATGATTTTTTTCCATATTTATATAAACAACTTCAACGACTATTATATTGTAATAAATCTTTATTTATAAATTTGTCAAAAATATCATGTTTGTATCGTTGAACGTTTTTTTTTATGTTTTGTAATTTTTTTTTCAAATTGTTTATCATTAATAAAGTTGGAAAAAAATATAAATTAAAAAAAACTTAAAAAAATAAAGATATATATGTTTTTTTAGGCTAGAAGATGTTAGAAGACTTTGGTCCACATCTGCGCCAAGAAGAGGGCGCGCAGACATTTTTAGGTCTGCAGTCTTCAAAAAAACAAACAGTCTGCGAAGGCTAATGTCTGCGCGTGGTCTGCGCGGCGCAGACAAAAGAGGCCACGCAGATCTGCAGACAAAAAACAAACACTATCTAAATTTGGTCCCGTGTGCTATCAAAATCATAATTTTTTTTTTGGTTTTAGTCGCTGATAAAGTTAAAAAATACTTTTTTCCCTTTTAATTTTTCTGTTACATTTCTTTTATTTATTTTTATACCTTTTTAATTTAAAAATAATAATTTTAAGAATGTCCCCCGTTTCCAAAAAGAACTGCCCCACCCTCTTTCTCCCATTTACCAGTTAAGAGAACCGCCCCAAGCAAGCACTTCTTCAAACAATGTGATTGATTCTTTTCTCTTACCTCCTCCTTATTGGTCTTGTTTATTTATTAAAAAAAAATACCCAAGTGTGGCACCATTCCTTGGGTGTGGTATGAAACCACATTTTTGTGGTAAAGAGTGAGGTGGCACCTACGTGGCAGTGAAGGGAGTGCAACTTTTGTGGCACCACTCCCTCCAGCCTAATGAACCCATAAATTGATACCATCGGATCATCTAATAACCCTAAAATCTTGGATCTAAACAACTAAAAGACCCTAGTCTCCGATCTATAAAACCCTAAATCGATGCGGATAGAAAAGACGGCCATATAAATAACTACACACATATATCGATAGAAGCCCCACTCTTGGAGGTTCACCGAATGAAAACCAAGCTCTCACGGTGAAAATCCTTCATTGGAACGAGAGACATGAGAAAGAGAGTAAAAGAGGGAGGTGGAGGCTTATCAGTCTTCTCAATATGGTTTAGTAGTGTGTGTTTGTTAAATCGGGAAGAGAAAACGAGAGAGAGAGAGAGAGAGAGAGAGAGAGAGAGAGAAAGAAAGAGGTATGTGTGTGCTCATATGCGTGTTGAATGTACATCAGGTTTTCCAGAACTTCATTGTGTTCATCCGCGTATATATATGTATGCTTGTGAATTAAATCGGTATCGACGTATGAGGTGGGGGTGGGAAGCGTGTTGATAATTATTTATTTTTGTTTTTGTTTTTCAATTAATGAATTACTAAAATATATAAAAGAAATGGAATAAACAAAGTAGAAGGGCAAAATAGTCATTCTAAGTAACTTTAAAATTTTCAGGGACCAAAACCACAAAAAGTTTCAGCTTTTAGACTAATGGTGCAAGTTGAAAAGTTTTTGGACTCCATTCACGTTTTTTTGCTAACCACAGAGACCAAATTTGCAGTTTAGTCATTTTGGTTTAAAAAATGTACTTTTTTTAAAACACTTCAAAATTATCACGTCATTACCACTTCTCCATTTCACATTTAAGAAATGGTTACCAATCCATATCATATTTATTATGTTTGTACTACTTAATATTATGTACATTTAAGAGAGAAAGAAAAGAAGATGAGAGCGATAGACAAAGAAGAGAATGGTCAAGCATGGTTCTCACCAAATTCTACCACAACCACTTCCCATTACTCCACCTAGGGATGTTGTTCAAATCCATAACATTGCCATCGCTCCACCATCACAACCTCACTCGTGAGGTTAAGGGGTATGGTCACTACATCCCTTCTAGAAAAATGTTGTCACATCTGCGACATGTCATCTTCACTACATATTCGCTACCACACTACTACCCATTGGAAATGGTTACCACTTCCTATTATTTATCCATTTTTTACATTGGATTAAACAAAAAATATAACTATTAAACATAAATAAAGTAATCCTATTGGGCGTTTGGAGATGAAGCAATCCTATTGAGCGTAAGCAAGCGTAGAACGGTCCACTCCGCATCACACCTACTCGCCCATGAGTCGGTGTTCACTAGCAGACATGTCAGCCACCTCAACATTTCACGTGTGAGGAGGGTTCCATACCGGAGATCCTGATAGCCTAAGGGAAGCACTGTGGTACCTCCGGTGTCGTTATTCGATTATGGGATGATGCTTTGGTTTTCGTGGGTCGAACGAGTTTGGCTAATTTGTTGCTTACACTCTTTTTTATCATTTCTCCACTTGTACTATATGCAATTATGCATAATAACTTTTACTAAAATATGTGTGTTGTGATGGGTGGATCTATGATGGAACTCATCGAAGGTGACGTCCAATATTTATAATAAACTTCAAAACTAACTATTTATCATTTAAGACGATGTATATTCTCATAATAATTCAACAACTCAATATAAACTAGATGTTTTTTTAACTTACCTTTAACACAACTTCTTCTTTAATCAATGAGTTTTTGTTTACTTTGTTATTTAATAACTAATTAGTTTCTTTTAATAAAATATTAAATTTATAACACCCGTTTTCCATGATATATCAGTTGAGGACTTGAGGGATCAAATGTAAGGTTTTTTGGAAAAATGTTTGTGTCGCGATATGGTGAATGGAGTACCATGACATGGCATGCCAACTTCAAAAACGCGCATCTAATGGCTGCCACGACGTGGCAGATGCTGCAGAACCCATGATTTTTAGGGTTTCTTCCATATTTAAGCACCTAAAATCAAGGATTAGGGCATCTTCTTCAGCCTGTAACCATTAAACACAAAACCCTAGCCTCCATGGGTGATTAAGAGCTTGTTCGCATGATTGAAGACCTTGTTCTTGGATTTTGGTGAAGCTTGAGGAAGGAGGACGATCATTTTGGTGAAAGGAAGCAAGGAACCAACTTTGGATACATCATCTTCTTCAGATTTATGAGTTATTATAAAGTTCATACCTTGGCATTTCTTCTCATAGATTCAAGTTTGGGATCATTTTTGGTGGTTTTGGCACCTTCCATGGATGCTCTTGGAGTTTTAGGAACTCCAGAGCTTGTTATGGTTCTCTAATAGCCAAAGGACTTCTGATGATTCAGAAATGATTCATGTTTAGAGTATTTTTGTGTCCATGCTCAAGTTTTGGTTTCATTGAGGATTCAATGGACTTAGGGTTGTAGATCTTGCCATGTGGTGGAGTCCTAAGGGATAATGTTGGAAACTTTATCCATTAAGTCATTGGAAAGGACCAGATTTAAAGTTGTAGGTTTAGATCTGTAGGGATTAAGCACTTAATAAAGAATATGGCATTATAACAGGAACCACAACGTGGCCAAGGGCTTTCCACGATGTGGTGGTGTCCCGCATGTCGATTATTTTGTCCCGACATGCCCACGACATAGTCAATAGGTCTCCACGTCGTGGTGAACGTTGACTTGGTTGACCGTTGACGTTTAACCAATTTTGACTTTGGGTCAAACTTGAAGGATTTTGGTTATTGATTAATGATCTATCTTTCTTTGGTGCTAGTCAGTTTGCAGGAGTGATCGGTGTATGGAGTGAGGGTGTTGTTATGTTTCCTTGGGTCTTCGATTAATGTGGGTTTCCTCAGTATACTATGTGTTACAGTGTATATCATTGTATGATAGGATATATATGAGTGGTGGTATGCTGGTTAGAGTCCCAAGAGGTCGGTCATCATCTAGTTGAGTGCCCTAAGGGTTGTATGCAGTCATGTAGGATAGCCTGAGAACTCTTAATCTAGGCTTTCTTGCATGTTCCTTGTTTGGTTGTAGCTCTATAGTGGGATCACTTGTTCGACTGTCTATCTCACACTTGATTATATATAGCTATGCATTCATTGGTGATCTGCCAGTTGTTTCGTAGTGTGTTGTATGAGACCGTATATGCAACAATGAGTCTTCTCACTGTATTACTCATATCATAATGTTTGTATGCTAGACCAGTTGGGTCTTATTAATTTGTTGAATGATGTTATATGTATTATTGGGTTGTTGATAACCCATAGGACTGCTGATAGTCCACAAGACTGCTGCTAGTCTAGGGTTGCTGATAATCCATAAATTGTTTATATTGTTGTGATGTATGTGATATTTTGGGCGGAGTCACTAAGCCTTGGCTTACAATTGTGGAATAAATGTTTTCAGGTACCATTGATGATCGTGAGAAGGCGAATGAGTGACTATACACACTCAGAACAACATTAGAGATTTTGCATTTATTATATTATTCTGATTTTCAAATAATTGTATTTGGAACAAATGAGTTTTCTTAACTTGGGTTTAAT